ATTATGTGCTTGAAGTAGCTATTTTGTAGAAACTGAGACAAAGATGAAGAACGAATGTGTATATAATGGAATTATAAACATTTGTAATGAACTACCAAGCTGATAAAGTATGGTTGCACTCTAAAAGGAAGGCTATGCTTTCATGAAACTAAACAGGACTAAAACAAGAAACATTCTCCAGACTCCGGGCTCCCAAAAGAACACTAAATTGCTCCTATTTAATACACTAGCCGAGCAGGACAAGATCCGTTTGAAAACAGCAAGTATAACTTCCTGTCTTTATGTTACTACCGGTCCTCCAAATGACTTTCCAGACAGTAGAGGGCAGCATACCAAGCACTTTGTATTTGAAAACAACAGAGGTTGCCTCTCTCTAACGTGACTACGTCACTAACAGACGTAACAATGACACATCTAAAATAGAAGAGATCCATGTGCCATCTGGTGGCGAAAAGGAGAAAGAGCACACTGCAAAAAGATATATCAAATTCCTCCAGTTTAGAGGGAATTAAAGTTTAATTATCTTTATCTGATGACACGCTCCCTTAAATCTCCACCAGTGCATGGAAAAAGAAGAAACTTATACCACAACTAACAAAAAACAGAGCTTTTTAGAAAGCTGTTAAAACAAAAGAATTTGAGATTTTGATAGGTAACATCAAAGACAACCTATGCAAGAAGAAAAATAAATTATATATAAAACAGAACCAGCATTTTATAACTTAAAGGTCTCTTTAAGTTCATCTACTTCATTTTACAGATGAGATAAAGAGTCAAAGCATGAAGAAAAATCTCTGGTGCAATCTCATTAGTAGTCAGATTAAAGCAGATACTGCTTTTCCCCTATCAGACTCTTTGTAACCCCAAGTGATGGAGTAGATTTATACTTACAAATTACAAGTACTAACTGATATTACAGAACCTCTCGACTTCTCTGTGCTAACACAATGTCAATATCCAAGAGAAGTTAGTAAGTAAAAGACAAGAACTCCAACAAATGTTCACTTGTTCTAATTCCACACACTTGAGAGACATAAAGAACTGATGTACAGACAACTTTCTGCCGAAAGACTCGCTGAGTAAGGAAAGCATGTTGAACTCTTACAAAATCTTGTTTCTAGAAGTTCAAGCTGCAGAGGCTACAAAGATTCACTAGGACATTTCCTGACAAAGGTCCAACTGGGTGGGTGTCATGAAGTGGACAGAAGAGGATCACAGGAAAAAGGGAAAGACCCTTGGATCCCTTTTGGGAAAGAGCTTGCTTTCCCACCACAGACTCCTTTTAAAACCTGAACCATGGAAGTTCTGCAAGAGCAGGACAGGTAAACCTAGCCATAGCTGTCAGCAGTCTGACCTGTGAGACAACAGCACAAACATTGGTATCTGGACCCACACAGTTCTATCCTAACTAGAATACTGTTATTTTTATGAAATTCTCAGCTCTCGGTCAAGATCTTGCTTTTTAGTAAGAATTCTTTCTAAATCACTTATTAACCACATGGAAAACTGTTCTATGCTCACAGTTCCCCATAATGCACATCATATTTAAGAGAGAGAGATCATCTAATGCTATATATTGAACACCTCACACCTACAAAAGGACATTAGTTTGTGAATCTTAAGAACCCAAAAGATTTTTAAAAGAAAGTAATAAACCTAAAAAGAACATCAGTTATCACTTACCATGCTATTTTTAAAACATAATAGTTTTAATGGGATTACATAATCAATAAAAGAGTTAGAAGAAAGCAGAATGAAAAGCTAGTTATCTGGTATGTACTACAAGGCTACCGTGTGATAAAAATGCTCCTTAGGTAATTTTCTTTAATGGAAAAAGTTAACTATTGAGCATATCCCCAAAGAATTAAAGAAGCAGAGTCAACAAAGAGACCAAAATAAAGACTCCTAACTGATCACCATAAGGAATATAAGAAAGTACTAGACGTTTTATAGCACTGCCTATCAAATCTGAACTCTTGGCAACAAATAAATCAACTAAGAAATTTCCTTATTTATAGGAAGTCAAGCGTTCAGAAATAAGAGAGTAACCCTTGAGAGAGAAAAATGTGAGAACTTACAGTATAAATTTGAGGACCATTCCCCTCTCCAAGCTCTCCTATTAGGAAAAGGTATGTATCTTCTTGAACCTTAATGAAGCCAGTGGCTGAAGACCTTTAGCTATAGGAGGTGGATGTAGAGAGTGAGACAGATATTTTCTTTAATGCCTGACACTGGAAGAGCCAGGAGGTATATGGGAACTTTTAAGTAGAGGTAAAACATAAGGGAGATACAGGCATGTTTTAAAAAGGAGGAGTTGCATTTAGCAAATGAGAGAGGAAATAATGCAATATTATGAAACCTAGTGTCCAAATAACTTCCTCATCAAGCTGGCAGCTACTGGGCTGAAATCATCTAAGCAGGGCTTCTACAAGAACTAAATAAGCATGTCTTATTTCTCCACCTGGGTTAATTTTGGTACAGTTGAATATACTATAATCAGAATCTGGCTCCCCTTCAACCCTAAATGTTAGGTATCTCACTTTCCCTAATTTAATCGTTTTTGTACCTAAGAGTCACTGTCAATTCAAGGACATTTGTGCCTAAATGAATGAAGTGGTTGCAGAAGCCAGTATATCCCTTTTTCCAGCTTTGTCTCAAAAGCTCTCAGGGCAGAAATGTACATGTCTGGGAAGCCAAGGCTAGAGCAAGGGCTTGGAGTCCCATAGTCTGCATGTGAACCCTGGCTCTGGCACATACTATAATGGCCTCGAAAAAGTTTTTAACCCATGTCTCTACTTCTTCATTTGAAGTCTGAATATTTATATAGTAATGAGTATTTACCTATCGTTTAATTATATTATCAATATTAAGACTATGAATAAAAGACTTGGTAAGTGCAACTGATTACCAACTTAAAAAAAAATTAAGGAGGAATGTTCTGAAATGTTATACAAGACATGTTTAAAGCACAAGGAAGCAAAGTAAACCTTGCTTTCACACAGATGAGATCTGGCTTCTCTGAGTCCTCACCTCTGAAGTTTCTAGAACTTGTAATTTAAGACAGTGTGCCAATTTAACAGCTGAAAGTCCTAACTGGAAGAAGAGATATTTAAAAACTAGGATAAAACAGCCGAAACCGGTTTGGCTCAGTGGTAGAGCGTCGGTCTGCGGACTGAAAGGTCCCGGGTTGATTCCGGTCAAGGGCATGTATGTTGGTTGCGGGCACATCCCCGGGGGGGGGGGGGGGGGGGTGCAAGAGGCAGCTGGTCCATGTTTCTTTCTCATCGACGTTTCTAGCTCTCTATCTCTCTCCCTTCCTCTCTGTAAAAAAATCAATAAAATATATATTTTTAAAAAAATAAAATAAAAACTAGGATAAAACAAAGACTAGTTAAAAATTTCCTTCATCAAAACAACAGCAATCTAGTGATGATTATTACTATATGAAAATCAATATGGCCACTAAACTAAGCTAAATTATCAATTTCATACTTATTCTTTTCAGATTAAGATACAGAGATTAATTAAAAAAAAAAAAAAAAAAAAAAAGCAAGCTAAAGCTGTTAGGAAGTTAGAACCTTCAATGAATAGAAAGTAGTTTCCAGGGCCCAAGTTGAGAGTTAAAGAGGCACAACGAGTTTGACTATATTGTTGACAATAACAAAAGATGTAATAAGGTCTTGGTTGAGAATTTTAAAACACTATATACCAATTCATGGTAGGAATAAAATACCAAGGAAAACCACTAAACTGCAGGAAGCCCCACTACAATCAATAGGAATGGAAATGTACAGGATAAAAGAAGGATGGAGAGGAAAGGGGCCCAGACGGCGTACATTTGCAGTGGCACTAAGAGCCCAGCCACAAGAAAGGGACTCATGCCAGAGGCCAACACACGGACAGATTCTGTGAACTAACAAATTAGCAATTCACGTGTTTTTATTTTCCCTGCCAACTAATCTTTGTTGATGCACTATATAGTAGTATAAGCATTCATTATCACAGCGTTTTTAACTAAGGGTGGAAGTAACTCCTTGAGCTGAACTTTGGTTTGGAAGATGACAGTTCTCTTAGAAGAAAAGGCCACTTTGCCCTAAAGCTAGGGCAACAAGACAGGCCTGCGCACTGCGATTTCACACTCCTAGATCCCACATGTAACTAAGGGCCACCCAAGGCACCTAGCAATCTCACAGGCTCCTTATTATAATAGAACAAAGTATAGCCTTGTCCCATTAGATCACATAAAAAAATCATCATTATTATTATTGTTATTATTAAAAATGCTTATTTACTGGACAGGGGGTGGGGAAAATGCTCCAACATTAGAGCATTCTATCACTAGGGTCATAATAAACCTCTAAATAAACAATAAAGCTAGAAGATGGAAATATAAAATTATCACAAGGCATATTAAAGGAGCACAAAAGCCACAAGAATTAGGAAAGAAGAAAGAAGAGGGCAAAAAAGATCAGCAGTTCTAAAATTAAAGTGCAGATATGAAGGTGAAGAAGAAAAGCAAGAATTTATATTAAAAAAAAACCACACACACAAAATAAACCAGATGTATTTTAAAAAATGGATCAAAAGTCAAGACTACAGGGTCTGGTCATATAACCTTGGGCAAGCAACCTATATAATTAATATATTCTACAGAGTGCAGTAATACTCATCCTACCCGTCTCATAAAGCTTCTTTGCAGGTCAAATTAGGGTAAAGTTATGTTAAAGTACACTGGAAATTGTAAAACACAACAGAAATGTATTTGTCCCTCAACTTCCAAAAACAGAATAAGTATATAGTAGTCTAATTTTCTCCCCTGACAGTTAATAACCCAGCTACTGGTTCTCCTGTACTCTTAAAAAAAAATAAAAAATACTAGGAAAAGAGAAATCAACCCCAATCTTTAGTCTCAGTTTTCTAAAGAGTAATTCCTTTATGTCTGCTTAACTTCTTGTCTAATATTAAAGATACCCAACTAAAAGGCCCTTCTATATTCTTACCTTTTGATGCTGCAGGAGCAAAGGGCCAGGATGGAGAAAGCATCAGATATTGGAGAAAAATGGAAGAAAAAAAGGAATCACACAGGGTTTGTTGTTATTGCAGACAGTAGGCTCAACCACCTGACCTATAAAGACTCTGCCCAACCCTTATCAATTATGTAGGCAGGTCTGGAGGTAGTACCTTATCAGCAGTGCCAGAATTGGTTCAAGAACATCATCAAAATGGGGCCAGACTGAGCTGTCACCTTACCTCATATCCCCACAAGTTATAATGATTAAAATACCTACATGCAAAACAACTGGGGGAGGAGAAATAGCCACCTATATATAACAATTCTTTCCCAAACCCAGCATCCCCAGAACATAAAAACATCTTATTTTCTTGCAAATTGAAATCCCATCTCTCTTCAACCCTCACCCAGGGAAGGGAAAGAGATGGGAACCCGTTTACAGCATATCCTAAATACTACACTGGCCCTTTCTGCATGAAAGAGGAAGGGACTCACTCTTGGTCTGGGCAGAGAAGGCATGGGTAAGTTTGGCGAAAAGTTCATTGTTCTCAAAGCGGTCCTCCTTCACCTTAGTCCAGAAGCAGTTCTGGGAAAGGTCCTCAGCAACAAACTGTGAATGCAGACAGTGTGTTAAGAATTACTAAACTGAGTTCTATAATTTCCATCCTAGAAAACTGACTAAGAAGCAAGAGGTGGCTGGCCGATTATTAGCACTGTCTATACCAGAGTCAGATGGACCTGTGATACAGACAACAGCTGTGCTCTTCATGATGGAATCAGGAGATGATGCTTCCAGTGTGTTTGTTGATGATTATTCAAGTTATGCTACGTGTCGTCCTTCTAACCTCAAATCCACTAGTTTTAGAAGCAGTAGGGCATTATTTCACATCTTCCCCTATTCTACATCACATATTTTTAAAAATATATATTTTATTGATTTTTTAGAGAGGGGAAGGGAGAAGGACAGAGAGTTAGAAACCGATGAGAGAGAAACATTGACCAGCTGCCTCCTGCATACTCCCTAGTGGGGATGTGCTTGCAACCAAGGTACAAGCCCTTGACCAGAATCGAACCTGGGACCCTTCATTCCGCAGGCCAATGCTCTATCCACTGAGCTAAACCGGTTAGGGCTACATCACATATTTTCCCATCAATTTGGCTAACTGTGCCAAATATGTTCTTTTTATAATCCATAAACTCTATTTTAACTTGGTTTCTGGGTTAATGCAAACACATAGTGGGAGTAATACTGAACAGTGCAAACATTTCCTGTGCAACTCATTTACTGGAGGGTGGAGGTGGGGCTGTATCCACTAATCCATGACTTGATATCAGCAAAATTATCAGTACCTTTTAGATTAGTGAAATGACTATTATCAAATTGTGTTACCCTGACACTCAAATCCTCAGAGGCCAAAAATACTAACTTAAGTTTAGGTTTTGTAGCAGAGTTTTGGCTCAAAGAACTCTCCAAAATAATGTCTAGCATATAGGAGATACCTAATACCTGCTGAATACACATATGCATGAGTGGCACTAAAGACAGACAGATGTGAGCCACAAGAAAGGGAAGCCCAAGCATGAACAAAGTAGGAAAGTGGTTTCTGAACATGTAATGATGAAGAAATGCACAGAAATTCTCACCTTGGACCAGTTTGGCCTCCGGAGCTGTACCTCTGGCTTATAAAGCTTCTTTGGAGTTAATCCATATGGCAGAACTGGGGCTGCAGGGACTCCAAATCCAAAAGGGGGAGGTGGAGGCATACCCATTCCTGGTGGCGGTGGAGGAATGCCAGGGCCTCCAGGAAATGGAGGGGGTGGGGGGATTCCAGTGCCACCAGGAAGAGGGGGAGGGGGAGGCGGCCCTCCTGGTCCACCAGGTAAGGGAGGAGGAGGTGGGGGGATGGCGGTACCCCCAGGCAGAGGAGGGGGTGGGGGGATGGCGGCACCCCCAGGCAGAGGAGGAGGTGGGGGGATGGCAGCACCCCCAGGCAAAGGAGGGGGTGGGGGGATGGCAGCACCCCCAGGTAAAGGAGGGGGTGGGGGGATGGCGGCACCCCCAGGTAAAGGAGGGGGTGGGGGAATGGCAGCACCCCCAGGCAGAGGAGGAGGTGGGGGGATAGCAACACCCCCAGGTAAAGGAGGGGGAGGTGGTGGTGGGGGAATTACAGTGCCAGAGTCACCAGGCAGAGGAGGGGCAGGGGGGACAGTAGCACTGCTGGGAGGGGGTACAGCAGTAATTGCAGCAGAGAGAGAAGCCATTTCTTTCTTAGCATCTTCCAATTCCTTGGACAGCTTGGCAACCTAGAAAAACAACATCAATGAAAGTATACTTTCCACTCTCTCTGGGACAACTAGAGTTTAAAGGGGCCTAAAAAATTAACCCCAACTTCTCATTTCATACATGGAGCGTGTGAAAGGAGTCAGACATGAAATGATTTGCCTAAAGTCACATAGCTATTTAGTGACAGATGAAATTAAAGTTCAGGTCTTCATGTTCTTAGCTCAGCATGCTTTGCATTAAAAAGGCAACTTCATGCCTGGCCTGCATGGCTGAGTAGTTGAGCATCGATCTATGAACCAGGTGGTCATGGTTTGATTCCGGTCAGGGCACATGACCAGGTTGTGGGCTCATCCCCAGTATGGGCATGCAGGAGGCAGTTGATCAAAGATTCTCTCTAATCACTGATGTTTCCATCTCTCTCTCCTTCTCCCTTACTCTCTGAATATATATATATTTATTAAAGGCAACTTCAACCTTTATGTTAAATTCTCCTTTTGATTAGAAAATGCAAAGACCAAGTAAATCAAATATTCTAGTTACATAATTAGCACATGTGCTATACAGGTAATTATGTAACTACCTAAGTGATCAAGTTATCAGATATCACAGATCATTCAAATATTTATAACTGCAGAGAGAGTGTATAAGGATAAATCTGTCCAATCTGCCCAGAGATGACAAATAGGAGAAAATAAACAAATATAACAATTTATTTAGTTTCTACTCCTAAATTTATTAGAAGAGTATTATCTATTTCTGAGTAGTACTGTGACTTATTTTATTCTATGTTGTTCTGTATTTTTCAAATTTTCTATCTTATGTATTAATAATCTCCAAAACAAAACAAACAAACAAAATAAAAGATTTTTAAAATATTCACTATCTACCCAGATTACCTACTAGTAGCTGAACCCTCCCTGGGAGTAAGATGACTCCTGCTCTAAAACAGACTCATCCTGAGGCTGCTGATGGCAGTTACAGGTCACTCTGTCTTCCCTGCTCAACATTACCTTTCCTGTGAGCTGAGACACCTCTGCTTCCAGGTCCTGTTTCTCTGTGGCAATCTGTTGCTTTTCAGAACCCAATGCATCCTTTTCTCCCTGAAGATCCTGGAGCTTCTGCTCGAAGTCACTTTCCATCTTTTTCATTTCCACCTGTAGCTCATGTCGGGCTGTTAACTCTAAATCCAGCTAGAGAAGAAAGGAATCAGACTCCCAGTAAGCTATCTCAGCAAGAAGCACAGTGTTATTCCCCATAATTTACTGTTTGTGCCAATCTTTGATCCATAGAGCTCACTGACCCAGGGAATGCCTGGGAAAAATGAACACCATGATTTTGACCTGAAAATCATGGATAAAGGAGGGGGAACAAGAGACCATTTCCATAGTTTATCTATATTTGGAGTTATGATTAAAAAAAACCCAACACTTAAGATCTTAAAGACATTTAATCAGGGCAGCCATGGCATATAATCCCAGTAGTCTCTAGGATCAAAACCTATCAACCACAAAAGGAGTCTTTAACAACTGAAGAGAAAGAGAGAATTCAGATATATTCCAGTCCCTATTGTCCCAGGGATAAGAGGCCGAGATGCCAGGTAAGCCTGAGAGTGCTTTCTGTATTATGTGAGTGCTGTCTGTCTTTCCTGTCTTGCCCAGGGGTCCAAGAACGGTGAGAAGTCACACTAACTAGCTCCTGATGATCACAATCATATCCAGCAAGTTTCCCATAGGAATTGTTGTTGTGTGCGGAATGCTTTCAAAACATCTCAGGTATGTTTCACATGTTAGAAATATCATAATCCTCAGAAAAAGAATGGCACATCCGATTGTTTTTTCTCTCACACCCACCTTTTTTTCCAGCTCTGTAGCTTTGGTTTCAGATTTCTCTACCTTTGTTTTATCAATCATTTGATCTGAAAAGAAGAAGAGTCAGGAAGTAAAGCGCCAATTCTCATTTCCCCTCTCACTACTTAAACTCTTCGATATAACCATAGGACAGTCTTAGGTCCTTTTATTTATTTGTATTGCCCTTCTTAACATTCTACACTAAATAAAGAACCTTCAGTTAAGTTCAACATAAGATTCTTGTGTGGCTGTTAAGGCCACCATGCTGCATGGCATGAAGAATGCCTACAAGTCTTACTTATGAATTTCTGAAACCAGCCAGAGTCCTCACTTATAGCTGAAGCCCCTTCAAAGATGGGATATTGTGTGAGAAGCAGTTAAATTTTAGAATTATGCAGAAATAAATTTAAGGCCTATATATTCTTAACACAGTTGGTTAACACCTAAGAAAGGTCCATCATGGAAATACCTGAGAACCAGAAAGATTATCTTCCCTGAAATTTTCACTGGAAGGATACAAAATGAAAGGCAAAAGCAATATTTTAAAGAACCAGATGGATGAATACACTTACCAATCAATCCCTCAATATCAATCTGGAGGTGCCGGCACTTGAAATCAGGATCAGCCCCATTCTTGAACAAAACTATCTGAGAAATACATTCTTCAATCAACCTATAGTACTGCGGTCTATGGAAGAAATAAAAGGAAAACCAATTTTCACAAGTATTCAGGATCAAAAAAAGGTACTGACCTGAAGATAAGTGCTCTGGAAAAGACCTTTTTATAAAATTAGCAGAAGTATCGCTGCCATGCTAGGAAACCCCTCTTCCACATCAGGTACCCCATCTACTTCAGAGAGTCAAACTTCTTGCCATCTGCCTTCTAGTGCCAATCCTTTCCCATCTAAAACTTGGGCTTAAGCCTTCCTGTCAATAGATAGTACTACTCTAAGACTCTACTTTCAGAAAACCTAAAAGAACTTTAAATTTACCTCCCTTTGTTATCATATTCACTCCACACTTCCAAAAAAGGAAGGGCATTTTACCTTAGACACTGTGATCTCTTCCATAGAGATGCTGAATGGACACTGATAATGTTCCTATGACTAAAAATGAAACCTAATTCTTGCCTTTTCCTTTTATAGGCAATCTTTGAATTTAAGGATTTTGTTCTTTCCACTTAGGCTAAATTTCAAACCTTCCCACAGGGGTACCATTTTACCTGGCCTCGTAGTCATTTCGGACCAGGAGTAGGTGCTGCAGAATGGACAGGAAGTGTGGCTCTGCCTTTGAGTCCTTCACTGTGTTTAAGAGAAACTGGAAGACTTCATTGAAATCAGTGGGAAAGACGAAGAAGCTAAGGAAAGCATATATTTAGATACTATGAAAGGTGGCTTATCCTACTCTCAGGAAAAGTAGCAAGGTGCTTTGCTATTCTAACAGCTATTCTTCCTGTAAATATTGTCTAACACTTTAAGCTCTATAAACTTCCTTTAGCAAAGGGACCAATGATTTGGTGGTACTATACAGATAGAGGATTGCTATTACTTGCCTTGAAGATCAATTAGAAACTAAAAGGTAACTGCCTCAAAGTCACTTGTAATAAATATCAATAGGTAACCAAAGTACTCCCTCTGTCAGTTTCAGGAACACATACAAGAAAGCAAATTATAACCTTACTCCTGACTTGTACATATTCTCTAAGACCAATTCTACATTTTAGTAAGTTAAGCTTATCATGCTATAGGACAGTGGTCGGCAAACTCATTCATCAACAGAGCCAAATATCAACAGCACGACGACTGAAATTTCTTTTGAGAGGCCAAATTTTTCAAACTTAGACTTCTTCTAACGCCACTTCTTCAAAATAGACTCACCCAGGACATGGTATTTTGTGGAAGAGCCACACTCAGGGGGCCAAAGAGCCGTATGTGGCTCACGAGTCACAGTTCTAGGAGATCTATACTAATTCCGAGGGGTGATTCCATGGCTAAACAACCCTCAGAGCACCTTTCCTAACTTTCCTGGTATAGCTGAGGTAAATAAATCCAACAGAAATCAAAGACACCTGCTTTATCTACTGAGAAGACACTCAGGCTGATGTCATCACCCCCACACCATTCCATGAAAGTATCTACAACTAAATGTTCCTGTCTTGAACCCAGTCAGTAAAAGGATATTCCATCTCCATTCGAATGTCATCCAGCCGTCCCTTCAGTTCATAGGAATCTTCTTCCCCTTGCTCATCAAACACATTTAGTTGCACTATCATATCATCATTTTCAATCTTCCGAAGATCCTGTCCACAACAAAAATGGAAGTCAGAGAACCCATACGTTCCTACGTTGACTAAAAACCCAAGCCTTTCAACCTGGTTTTTATATTTATTTGTTTATTTATTTGTTTGTTTATTTATTTATTTTCAACCTGGTTTTTAAATTGAAAATCCAAGTTATCCCTGGAATGACTGGGCAGTAAGAGCAGGAAGAAGTCAGTGCAGCCTTTGCAATGAAGAGCTGCATCTCACCTGCAACACTTGATGCAGCCCCAAGCGCATCAGTTCACTTCGGATGTGAACTCGGAAGTCAAGTTCTTCAGCTGGTGTGATGAGAGCGTTGATTAGCTGTAGACATCCCACCTAAAATTAAAAAATTCAGCAGCTATGTCAGTGTTAACTCCTAGATATAAAGATTTCATTCTTCTTACATGCATTCTGAGGACCCCAAATACAACCTAGAAAATGCTACAAGAATGACTTTTTGCTAGAGCAATAGGACCTGGTTTGAGCACAGGTCTGGAGAGCTCAGAAGTCTAAGTAATTCCAAGGATCTGATAGTATACTTTGCTCTAGGCCTAATTTGTGCATCTTTTCCCCATTTCATAATGAGGGACAGTTCTTTCTTTGCCTGCTTGGAGAGAAGGATAGTCATTTTCCCTTCCTAACAAATTATAAAATATAAAATATAAAATATATAGTTGGGATCCATTCCATGTGCTTTCTTAAAAAGTCAAGTGAACTTAAGTCTTTCCATGTTAAATTCTACTCTTGGGCCCAGTTTCAGGGGATATACATGCCTTGAGTGCAATGGAGGTCTCACTTTTTAATCCAACCAGCAGTGGCTGGAAACGTTCCACCTCATCCATCTCAGCTCTTTCTGTCATGGCTTCCAAAACCCTTTCATTCCTGCCCAGGAGAAAAGAAAGGGAGAGAGTTGCCCAGGTGCTCTGACAAAGACACGGATAGCAAGTAGATTATGCAGGGACAAAGATTAGTTAGGAAATAGAACATTACCAGTGTCTGGATTTCCCACATTATTCTCCTCATTATCTAGAACAAGAGCCAGAATTTGCTGAAAGCTAAGGATGATCTCTTCAGAAAAATGCACCTTAAAACCCATTTCTAGACTCCTATCTATAAAAACCAAATTAAGACCCCTATTCTATGGTACAACTTTTGGAGGGGCATTTAATATCAATTTTGAATGCACATGACATTTGCCCTACTTGTAGAAATCAAACATGAATGAATAAATGTAAAAGAATAAATGTACAACAGGGGTGGAGGACCTTTTTTCTGCCAAGGGCCATTTGGCTATTTATAATATCATTCTTGGGCCACACAAAATAATCAACTTAAAAATTAGCCTGCTATTTTGGGCAAACATTTAATTAACTCACCCCTAATACCTTGGCAGCACCAGATTAAATTATTTCAGAGGCCTTATACAGCCCATTCTGGACATTCCCCACTCCTGATGTATGAGGATGCTCATTATAGAATCATTTGCAACAGTAAAAATTCTTATAATCTAGAGCAAGAGCCAGGTATGCTTTAAAAATGGAAAAATTTTTAAATAAATTATGCAACATACAGAATATAGAATGCTAAATAGCCAGGAGAGATATCAATAGATGTTGACATAAAAGAATGTCTAGAATGTGCTCTTAAATAAAAAGAAACAAGCTGAAACAAAATTAATGGTATGATTTAGTTTTGTTAAACATCTCCACAAAAAATAAAAATCTATATTGTAGCTGAAACTGGTTTGGCTCAGTGGATAGAGCGTCGGCCTGCAGACTGAAAGATCCCAGGTTCGATTCCGGTCAAGGGCATGTACCTTGGTTACGGGCACATCCTCAGGAGAGGTTGTGCAGGAGGCAGCTGATCGATGATTCTCTCTCTAATAGATGTTTCTAACTCTCTATTCCTCTCTGTAAAAAAAAAAAAAAAATCAACAACAACAAAAAATCTATACTGTACATGAAATTGGTTTTGTAGGCAAAAGCCATTTTTTCTTAGTTCTAGAATACCATCTTTTGGAGTGGTATATCTTAGAATCTAGAAAATGCAATACATTTTTCTGTGCTAGAAAAGATATATGAGACAGTACCAAGTCATTAACAGTGGTTATCTCTGCAGAATAGGATTTTCCAAAGGCATAAAGTTGGTAAATTTCACTTTATATATTTCTGTGTTGTTTGGACTTTAAAAAGTAATATTGTGTTGCTTCTGATTTTTTTCTTTTTCAATGGAAAAAGAAACCCTTGTCCCTAGACAATACAGATGGAGATCTGGGAGCTATCTGACTATAACGAGTGGTACATTCAGGATAGCCGCATCACCTAACAACCTTCCTTAAATATTAAGATTCACAGTGTTCATGTCTGAGAAAAAATTCATGTTTAAAACCAAGTGGCCACCCAAGCAACTCAATTTTCCTCTACCCTAGAGAAGATGGTAAAAAAGAGAATGGAGAAGACAAATAATTCATCACATACATGTCCTCTGGCTGTGGTAGGATGCAAAGAGCAGAAAGCAGCTTAGCTGCATCAATCATCATGTTGGGAACAGCAGGATCCATGGCTCTGACCAGCAGCAGGATTCCTTCTTCTGTCTCTAACATGGTCTTGATTCCAAACTGGCAGGACAAAAACAGAGAAGGGAGGCTTAAAGATGACAGCATCTAACACAGGACACATTTAGAAGTCATTATGGTATTTCTCTCAAAACTTCATACATTGAAGTTTTAATTCCCAGTTTCAACAAGGTCATATAAGAATAG